CTTTCCTAAGAAATACTGTTTTCTCTATTTTACAGGTAAAAAAACAAAGCAAATAATAGCTACAGTCAATCTTTTCAGCCATTAATTACCTATATTACTCCTGTCAGTCTTCAAGTCTTATTCCAGCACCTGTGAGAATAGTAGCCAAGCTCCTCCCCTACTAACCCAAAATGTTGGGTGTATTTCAGCTAGACATCTATAATTAGTACTTAAGCAAGCAGAACTCAAGTCATCTGTGGTTATTCATCATTAAGCAATCAGGACACGCTTTAAAGCACCTACATTTGCATTTAGAAATCTTCTGGCAGAAGCCAAGTAAAAGAGGGAACTTTTGGGAGTGTCGGAAAGTGTCTGAGGCTGCATCTCACAAGTACAAGGTCATTCTTCCTTTTGAAATAAAGGATGAAACAGTGCAGAGAATTACATAAGACAATGAATGGACCAGAAAAAATGTTTGCAAGTGTTTTCAAATGAATAAATTAAAATTTGTAATCAAGCACATATTTCATAATTTGTTTTGGTACAGAATACAGAACAAAAAATTAAAATAATTTCTCACATTGTATTTGAGTACTAAAATTAATTCTATTTATTTTACTTTTGATTACAATTCTATGAGAACCCTCTGGGTTATATGATTGTTATTACATGCAGGTACATTTTTGGCACATTTAAGATGAAAAATCTTTTCTGATCAAAGAAACTGAGCAATGCAAGAGCTAACTAGTAGAACCAGACAATGGAATCCAAGGTGCTGATACAGACAATAATTCTTAACAGCTGCTCTATTCTTCTTAACATTGCAATACTCATCAAAGAAAAAGTAAATTTTAGAGATTCCTGTGGGGAAGTCTTGTAGTGTAAACTGCTATAGGTCAATTCTCCTAATTTTTTATTGAGAAAAAAATTAATATTATATTAATAAATTAATATTAATATCCCATTAATATTTTCACAAATAGGCATAAGTCAGTGACCTGGAAAACAAGAGTTACCTCTTGTTCTATTAATTAATATCCATAGCTAAGCCTTTTTAAACCATGAGTTATTGTCTCAGTGTGCTGTTTGTTTCAAGGTGGGATACCTGACAGACATTTTTTAATAAATATCATGGAACCATAGAAATGCTGATCTAGTCCAGCTTCCTGCTCAAAGTGGGATTATTGCCAACACTAACCTCCTGGTTAACAAATGTTTTTTTCTCTTAAAGTTTAATCTGAGCCTCCCAAGTTGTAATTTCTGTTGTTTTGTTTGCCCTTTTCTTTGCTCTCTGCTGCTACCAAGACATGCTTGTCTCCAATGTTAGCAGAACTCCTGCTCACCTCCCATTGTTTTTGTTGCTGGGTCTCCACTTTGGCTCTAACACTGACAACTCTTTCCACTACTGACCTTGGAACTATAGCAGTACATTCAACTCAGAAATCTCTGTCCCATCTGATTATGCAGTTCTACAAATGCTTTAATATATTTCTATAGATTCTATTTCTATAACGCATACGCATGTACATACATACATACATAAAATTAATGTGTATTTGTGTATAATATCTTTCTTACAATATTGACAGCAGTGGAAATTTTACTCTGGAGTGGTCATTTATTCTTGCTGTTGATGATATCAAATACATAACTTTCAGTTCTTACATTTTATTTATTTTTTTAATATATATTAGAACTGGAAACCATATACAAACACAAATATGTGCATATAAACATACAGATGCTCATTCCATATGCAGTCCAGACATGCCAGGCCTCAAAATATTTTATTCAGTAAACAATTTCAGCATAAAATCAGTATATTTTTCCCTCTAACAAGGTTGCTTCCATGGCCTGAGCAAACTTTTGGCTTCACAAGCACCCATTGAAACGTGTAACTTTTTTTATTTGTGACTACAGCGGGAATCACTTTTCCCCTGGGCAGAGATTTTTGACTAGAGATGGACATCAGCCATGCAGATCAGATCGAAATAAGGATTTCAGAAGACTGAAACTTCCACTTACTGAGTGCTGGATCCAGGATTTTAATTTAACGCATTACAAAGATAGGGACTGTTTTGAAATACATGTACTGATCCATCTGGATGTTATTTGCATCTGTGATTTAGTTAAGGGTCTCATTTACATTTTATATTTGAATTCAAGAAACTCTTTAAAACACTTAGCTAAGTACCACTGGGATGGAGAAATTGTTCCACCAGAATAGTGTAAAAAGGCAGAATGCAGCAAAATTATGAAATTATTAAAATAGCTCAAGCAACTACAGCAAAGTTTTATAAAAATCAGAAAAAACTTGCTCAGAGCAAAAGCTACTTATAAAATGTGATTCAGTACATATTTTCTAGGTATGGTGAAAGAGTTTTGAAATCTTTGAATAGTTAAACACACATTTGTTCCTAGAAATAAGCCTAATCCTTTCCTCCAAGTTTTTCTGTGGATGAATGAAAAACATAATCAATCTAACTTTTTGGTTACTCATGAGCAGAATAATGATATTTTTTGTTTTGTTTTGTTTTTCTGCACAAAATCAGACATTATTGCGTGCTACAAAAACCACATTTTTATCTGGAGTCCAAGGGTTATTTTATTAAATGCTTAGGCAGAGACTAATATATAGGGAGAATGCTTTAACATGTGTAAAGACTTTTTTCCACTAGAGAGGAGGATGATGTCTAAATTTTCAAGAGCAGAGTTTACTTTCCTTCATCATCAGAAAGATTAATAATTTTATTTTCATTTTACAGAGAGAGTATCTAACATCAAGAAAAACAATTCTAATTAAACTACAAAACTCATCCTGAGATTAAGTATAACCATATCCCATATGCTATGTAATGATGTTTTTAGCATTGTTCTTTAACCTTGCTTTTTCTCAGACACTGTCAGTAAAAAGACAGCAAACCCCCATTTATTATATAATTTACTGCTACAATAATAGGTAGTAACTAATTCCTGGAGAAATTTGTCATATTAAAGGAAAATACTTTAAATCCAGTGAACCATGCATTAAAAATGTCTCCAACTTTTCAAGGAATGGCGTCAAGAATATAAAAATCACGTGTTATATCATGGCAGTAATTTTAATTGTGTAGTAATTATGCAGTTTCTCTGGGACAAAATGCCAGCTTGTGGTTTGCAGCAGCAGTTGCATGTCTTACAAAGCAGCTTACTGTGACTCACCAAATCTTACTGAAACCCTAGGCTAAATTGTGGCTCACCATCATAGAGATATTTTTCAGTGTAAAACATCTGTGTTTATCCACTTTGCACATCCTGACCTCCTTCAATCCCATGGATGTCCCTCATGTCATTATCAGCACATTTTCATTTGCAATGTGACTTGTACACTGATCTGTGTATTCTTTCTGAGACTGAGAATATCCCCTGCATAGACAACTATCCCTACTTATTATTAATTGTTAATTATTATTATTAATAGCTACAAAACTATTGCATTGTATTTACAGCATAATTTTTTGAGTATAATAATGTAACTCCATGATTTTTCACAATATCAACACTGAAACAGGGAATACATAAAGTTTTTTTTTCTCTATAGTGGGCAGACCGCTATTTAAAAGGACTGAAGATTATACTTTATTTAGGATCATATTAGAGACACTGCATGAATTTAGAGCAAAAAGATAATTTATTTTCCAAAATCCTGTAATCTTTATTGAAGGAATAACACACAAAAGCAAGAAGCCAAGGAAAATTTATTGAATTTCCACCAGAAATAATGTCAAATAATGTCAAATACTAGTTTGCACCATGACCAGCAGTAATAATTTGCTATTTTGGAAAAAATATACAGACCAGAAATTTTTAAAATAATTTTTGGTTGTAAATTATTTACTCAGAAGAAAACAAATAGTAAATAAAATCTATTAACAAGAAGTCTGCATGTTAATTGTCATGTTTTGTTTTATCTGTGATATTATATTGAGATAAATATAAAGAGATATAATATTTAATCAGTATGTACATCAGCACAAAGAAAGAAACAAATTTCTCAGATTTATACTGCACATAGGAAAAAACATGCTATTTTCCTGCACTGATTGTGTCCTCAAATTTTATCAGAATTGATATTGCATAAAACCTCAAATATTGGCCTGGATATTTTTGAAGACAAAGAAAATAAATATAAAACTAAAAAAAATAACATGCTTCATCAAAACCCATGAAATAGGCAATGACACCTGTAAGTAAGAACCAGATATTTCATTTGTATGTCCAAAAGATTAATATCATATAATAAAAATTAATCCAATGGAACTGTATTGATAAAAAATACAGACATAAATGTATTGTTATATGGTCTGGTCAGGGTTAATTTCAAAAAATTGACTTTTAAAAAATTGTCTTGTTTTGTGAAGATCGGTGAGTCTTTGAATGGCACTTAATGGAGAATGGAATTAATCACAGCATCTAAGTTCTCTTAAGTTATCACCTTACTTCAATTAGCAAACATTGAACTTGCCAACTGTTGTTGGCTTTCCTCTCATACCTCATTTGGTGCCAATTTCAATTTGTCTCGTGCTCAAATGGATGGGTGCATGACAGATATCCTCTTGCATACTTTAGAAGTGATTCAGCTCAATAGGTTTGTCTTTTTGTATCATATCACAGAGCACTGAAATTGTCAAAATTTGCAGGATATTTACTCCTGTTAGCTTTTATGCAGTGAACAAACATGGTTTGAAATACAGTTATGAAAAATACAGGGCAAAACTACAGACAAAATCAGTGGCTTAATGCTTTCTTTTCCCATTACAAACTTCACCCTGCAGGTTAAAATATTGAGATCAGAGTGTGCAGAAAGGATATTACATTCCCATTTGAAAAAGTGCTGAACTGCTGTAGGGTCAGAAGGCTCTGAAGAGGGATCTGGACAGGCTGGAACAATGGGCTGAAGCCACCTGTCTGAGGTTCAACAAAACCAAGTGTCTGGTCCTGCTCTTGGGTCACAATGACCCCTGGTAGCACCACAGCCGGGGATAAGAGTGACTAGAAAGCTTCTCAGCAGAAAAGGTCCTGGGAGTGCTGATCAACAGTGGCTGGACATGAACAAGATGTGCCCAGTTGGCCAAAAAGGTCAGTGACATCTTTGCCTGTGTCAGCACTGTTGTGGCCAGCAGGACCAAGATTGTGCCCCTGTACTCAGCAATGATGAGGCCTCACCTCAAAAACTGTGCTTAGTTTTGGGCCACTCGTGACAAGAAAAACATTGAGATGCTGGATATAGTCCAGAGAAGGGCAACAGAGGTGGGTAAGGGTCTGGAGTACAATTCTGATGAGAAGCAGTTGAGGGAGTTGGGAGTGTTTAGCCTGGAGAAAAGGAGGCTGAGGAGGGACCTTATTAATATTTACAACTACTTCAAAGGAGGGTGCAGCAAGGTGGGGGTCAATATCTTCTCCCAAATAACAAGATAGAATGAGAGGAAATTGTCCCAAGTTACACCAGGGGAGACCTAAATTGGGTGTTAGGAAACAATTATGAAAAAGGTTGACAAGCATTGGAACAAGCTGCCCATGCAAGTGGTAGAGTCACCATCACTGGAGACATTTAAAGAACAATTTCCCAGAAAAGCTCTGGATGCCCCATCCCTTCAAGTGTGCAAGGCCGGGTTGGATGGTGCTTTGAGAAACCTGGTTTAGTGAAAGGTGCCTCTGGCCATGGCAGGGGGATGGAAACTTCATGATCTTTAACGTCTCTTGCAACCCAAGCCATTCTTTGATTCCATGATGCTATGGGGTGCTTCAGGATATGGTTTAGTAGTGTGCTTGGAAATGACAAGTTTATGGTTGCCCCCAGTGATCTGAAAGGTCTTTTCCAACCAAAATCATTCTATGTCTCTACTATTATTACTTCATTGAATTCCCACCAGAAATAATGTCAAGATGAAGAGGAACATGGAGAAAAATAAATTAGAGAAGCCAGAGATGAAATCATCTGCTCCCTACAGGCTTTTTCTGAAGAGAGTGAAGTCAGAAAAGGAGAAACTGAAGGAGAATTTTGCTAGTAGTAAGGGTTTGGTTTTTTTTTTTGCAATGGACTGAGAGTCTACATCTGTTCATTGGTTACATAAATTTCATTAGAAGATATGAACATCTATTTAAGTCTAAGCTAAAGACAGAATGCTTCATGATATGGGATTGAATTGTGGTTTCTATGGGTCTGTGGCATGAAGAGTAGGAAAGGCTGCTCTGGGCTGAGAATTGAAGAATTCTTTTTATTCAGTGTCAGCACACTGGCAAGAAATAGACATCTGATGTTCATTATTTTATTGCAGTATTTTTTACAAAGAAAGCAAATTGCTTTATATAGTATAATGCATCCAGCAACGTTCTTGCCTAGAACTGGTAGGATGGAGTCTGGGGAAGGATTTGTTCTAATATGACAGAGTCCAAGGCATCAAAAGCTTGATGCAAAGCTCTGTAAGAATTTTTGAAGGAAGTTCATCTGAGAGAGTGTTCCTTCCACCAAGTGGTTACCATACATCTCAGGGGATGTGCAATTGAGAGCAGGATGCCTGTTCTCAGCTTGTGGAGCTGGCAGACCACTTCTGCAGTGACACAAATCCAGGGCAACCTTGGAGAAACACAGCATGAACATACATTTTAGGAATGACTGAGTGGGAGTACAGGGTTTAACCACACCCACCCTCTGTATTTTAAGTCATCAATCTGAAAACACCCAAAAAAAAGCAAAGCAAGGGCCATGAAATTCAAAAAGTTCAGTAAAGATTTAGATTCCCTAAGTTTTAATTCAAGCTGACAGATCAAGAAATTCCTACTGGCTTGTGTGCTATAGCAATAAAACCATTACTCATGCAACAGGCAGAGGTTTGGTAGCGAAGCTTGCTTCTTGCATCATATTTCAAGTGCAATTTTTTTAGGCAAAACCAAGTTCCCTGTATGGCAGTTGGCTGCATTAAGTAAGGATTGCCCGGTGTCAATACTATAAAGGTATCTGGGCACCCATAGAGCTGCTGTTATGGCTCTGGACTTGATCATTTGCTGCAGGGTTTGGTGCTCTCATTCTGACACCCCGTGACTCAAATCACCTCAAGTAAACTGAGATCGTTTCATGGGGTTCTGGGAAGACTGAATGCCTGACCTTCATTTCCAGGTTGCTGGTGATGATTTCATCAGCTCTCTGTGCCACACAGGGCGCATTTGCTCTCTGACTACACTCAGACCCAACCCACAGGTTACTGTCCAGGCGGGACTCTGTTTATTGCAGGGTAAGGTGCACGGAGATGTTTTTCCTTGTTGGAGTGAGAGAGAGATTACTCTGTGTTTAGCTGTGCTGCTCTCAGCAGCATGGACAGAGAGGGAAGGTCAGAGCATAAGATTATCTGAAACAGGGCTGCCCTCAGATACGTGTTCATTGCCAGGGCCTGTCAGTAAGGATTAAACGCTGTTAGCATGGCACTTTGCACAGCTGCTTGAACTAAGTGTCATCTCATCTATGGCTTTTGGGGAAGATGTGGAGAACTCCAGCAGGGAAAATAAATGTCTGTGGCATTCACTGAGGAAATGTTACTTTTGGTTAAACTCTCCTGACCTGAGCGGAGCTTTGATTTCAGCCTTGATCACTTGGCTCTGTTATTTTGCTTAGCAGACTGAGAAGCTGGTTTCTTTAGGATTCCTCTTTTAGGAGACCTCACCCCTAGCCAACATGAAATTAGCTTTGGAAATCTATCTTTAAAAATCTGAAGTAGCAGAGATTGCTCAGATTCCTTCCAATGGCAAAGCTTGCAATAAAATATTTCTCACAGCAGAGCTCCAATTGCCGGAAAAATTTTCAGTGACCTTGTAGGCCCAAATGTCATTTATCCAGGCAAGTGTATTCACTGGCATAAAGAATGCCAGAAAAATAGGTATTATATACTCTGCATCATCAGTTAGACATACACTGTTGTCAATTTTAATATTCAATTTTTGCTGAACAGAGAAAGAAGGTGATTAGGTAGTACAATGAGATGCAGTAGATATACCGGTTCTTCTTGTGTTTCAACAAATAAGAAGTTTTAGTAGGGATAAGTGAAATAACTCAATCACCTGTTTACTTTCTGATTCCTTCAGATAGCAAAATGCATCCATATGTTAGTGGTTAAGGTACCAGAGACTTTGGTATTCCAAGAACATCAACATAAGGAAAAAATAGGCCAGGAACTAGGCAGTGTAGTTTCCTTCCTTATTTTTATATTATCTCTTTTTCTTTGACAACTGCATAGCTACACCCAGAGAAGTAGTAATTATATCCAGAACCCAAAGAGGTCCATCATAACATGAAAATGTTGTGACATCATAGTCCTTGGTTAGGGAAATTATAATGATGGCAGAGGTTAAAGCCACAATGTAGGACAGGAAGAGAAAGGGAAGAGCCTTAGAGGAGAGTTTCTTGCTCAAAAAAAGCACAAAACTCTCCCATTTTGAAGGAGAATTTTCACAGGGTAAGTCACCTTACTTTTAAAATGTTTTTTTGCACGGGGGTGTTTTTGTAAATGTTTTTCAATTGGTTTCAATTGGTTTAAAACCACTTATGGGTGAGGTAGAGGAGAGGAAATAATGAGAAACAAATTCAGTGGAAAAACAAGTGTTGATGGTGTGACAAGGCAATGAAGTAAATTTATGAACTGACTTGATCATGGATATTAGCACCTCCTTTCCTTCCAATGTGAGTCAGAATGAACACAAACATCACAGCTATATGGAAAAATGTACCATGGGGTGGGGGGTGGGGAGAGGAGCAAAGGACAGTTAAAGAAACCCTTACTTTTTTGCAAGTTTTTTTTTACATTTTTTTAATATTTACTAAGAACAAAACCACAAACTGTTGAAATAGCTTTCCCATTTCTCTTCTGACTGGAAGAAGAAAATAAGAGGACTAAACAGAGTTTGTGACACACTAGTAAATTTTAAAGATAAATGTGTTATTTTTCCTATAGATATACCAATGAGCCAGGATCTTCTATGCTGTGAATTGTATTATGACAGGACAGAAGTACTTTGTATCATATTTTATTAACTTTTCAAATATTTTTGGATTGATAGAGGAAATGTTCTTCTTTACCAAATGTGATACACTGTAACATTTGCACAAGCAAATTCACGTCTTCTATCTTTTTTGTCCTTTTCTGTGGAAAGAGAAGACACCTTTATGAAGATGTTAGTAATACAAATCATTTGTCATGGGATTTTCTGAGAGAACCATGTCACCTCCAGAAATAACAGAATATGCTGAGTTAGAAGGCTGCTATTTCAGTGGTGAATTAGATGTCCACTTTGTTTTTCATTTTAAGGAGCTAAACTTAATTTGATAAGTTTTAAACACTGATGGACATAGATCATTTCACTATGAGTTCCTCAGACAAATCTTAGATTTCAATTGTCTCAGCCATGTGCTTGTTCCTTTGTGCAATATAACAACCTTGTTTCTGTAAGTTCATTGGAACTGACAAATAACGAAGGGAGCTTGAATTCCAAAGCACAGTCAAAATTTGCTTTATACCCATGACTAATGTCAAATCTGAACTCTATCTAATAGAAATATTGAGTAACCTTGTGTTGATCTCTTCTTGATGCCAGCTATGACTTTTTATAATAGCTGAGGTCAGATCACTATCCATGATGTGTATGCTCTCCACACAGAATTTCCTTTGGTAAGGAACTAAGGAAGAATCCCACTTCTAGTTCAGGCTGGCCTGAATGCAAGGAAGTTAAAAATGTTGTACACATCCTGATATTTAATGGACCTCAAGGCTAGAATTCAACAGGGCTTAATTATTAAACTGGGATACATCCAGATACTTTCATCTATACATAATTCTAAGATTTTTTTTTTTATCAAATATTTTTTAAAGTATAAAATGTAGACATGTGGGTAGCAGAATATGCAATGAAAAATTTTTATCACTATCTTAGCCCACATGAGGACTTCCCCCAAAATATGTTCTTAGAAAAAGAACAAGCAGACCCAGCTATGATTAGATTTTTCTTCATAAGAGCAGAAAATTGCATGATGTAAATATTGTTTTTATTGTACAGATGTGCTGTAACAAAGAAAAATGCATGCAATATTACATTTTCTCTACTAAAAAATGAAAAAAGTTACAATAAAAAAGAGTAATCCTTAGCCTGTGTTATATAAACTTAAAGAAATGGTAATCAACCTTGATGCGTGACTAAGGCACACATCTGTCTGTATGATTTATGACAGAATACAATCAGAGAATAAACTGTTCTTTTCTTAAAAAAAAAAATCCTCCCTGTAAGAGGATATTCTGCTCTACAATGAAGCATAGATTTTTTTTTCCCATATTTTCTTTTTCACTCAGAGTTGTTATTATATGTCTACTATCTGTAGTTTCTGGGCAGTCATTATAGAAATTCCTACCAGTCTCTTCTGTATAGAAGCTCAGAGTTGTTCATGAGCAGAGAAATGATTCAACCTATTTTATTACAAAAGAAGGAGCTAGCTTCTTCCTAAAAAATGTAATTATAATTCTGAATTAAATTTCAAGGAAATAAAATATCTTTTTTATTTCTATTAAAATGATTAGTGTATGAAAATAAGGCAAGATATTTTCATTATTATAATACATTTTTAATGCTTCTTAGTTCTGAATAGGACATTTCAAAGGGCTAAAAAGGGTTGCAGCTTCATGTTTATTTAATAAAGTTTCCAAGAAAATATCAGCCATAGTAAAGACAACATGGACATTATCAGTACTGGAATTTAATGGAGACCACCTTACTAAACTGTCACAAGGAGATTAATTATACAGCATCGCTTGAGTTAGAACAGAAGGGTTGGATACCCTAACATTGAATCCAGTGACAAGTTTTCCACTATATTCAAGAGTAAATTAATAAGTAATTTAACGTTTTCCAATGGCCTGCAGTCTTATTATCAACTTAATTTTAAATCAAGGTCATTAATGTGGGTTGAAACTATTACTGAAACTTTTTTTACCATCCCTGCAGCACAGGAAATAACATGGTATGATAGCAGAATATTCCACTGAATTAAAAACACAAACCCACTCAGTGAAGAACTTAAAATCTTTTCCCCAGTGTTGCTTTTTGTTTACAGTTGAAATGAATCACTTTCCAAGGTATATCTCACCAAGTCAATTTATGCTACTGGTGGTGGCTGGACCCGACAAACTGGCTGGCAGGGAGATTGGATAAAAGAGACTCCCGTGCAAAGTCTCTGGATCCCTGCCTCAGGGAGGAAGCAAAGTGTGCTTATGTATTTGTCACATTTAATGGCCTTTACAGAAGGAAATTGCGTGTTCTATGACATCTATTGGCAGGAAAGGTGACTTAATAAAGAAAGGGAATATCTTGCATTAGTGAGAACAGAGTGGTCAAGTAGTAATTCTACAGTCATGACAAAGTTATGCGATGATGTTTACGCAAAACTGGATTTAGATGGGCCTGGAGGAAGCTTAAAAAGAGTGGGAGGCAAGGGGGATGGATTCAGGCCCTGCCTCTGCTTCAAGTCAAATACCTCATAGCATTAGGTTATGTTAATCTACTGTTGTATCTGCTTCTGCATCTCTTTCACTCATCCTGCAAAATTTTACACAGAGAGATCAGAAATGTCTTAAGAAATTTTGCATATGGAAGTAATGAATACAACAGAATTCAACAGAATCACTGGGGTTGGCAGAGACCTCCAAGATCGTTGAATCCAACACATGCCCTAACACCTCAACTAGACAATGGCACTGAGTGCCACATCCAGGCTTTTTTTAAACACTTCCAGGGATGGTGACTCCAGCACCTCCCCAGGCAGAACATTCCAGTACTTTTTTATTCTTCCCATGACAAACTTTTTCCTAATATCCAACCTATATTTCCTTTGGTACAGTTTAAGTCCTCTCTTTCTGTCAGCTGCTGCCTGGAGAAAGAGGCCAACCCCCACCTGACCACAGCCACCTTTCAGAGAGTTGTAGAGAGTGATAAAGTCACCCCTGAGTCTCCTTTTCTCCAGGCTAAACAATCCCAGCTCCCTCAGCTGTTCCTCACAGGGTTTGTGTTCCCAGCCCCTCACCAGCCTTGTTTCCTTCTCTGGATGCACTCAAGCGTCTCAATGTCCTTCCCAAACTGAGGGACCAGAATTGGTTGCTCCTCTCAATGTAATTTTATTAAGAAGGCATAAACCAAAAGAGATCAAAAGAGACTATTTATCACAATAAATTATTTTTCTATATAACACCAGAAAATAAATGTTAAAATACTTAAACAAAAGACAACTGTTTAGAAACTACTCTCTAGCATTTTAAAATCTGTAACATATCATTGGAGAAGATTTTTACTTTTTCGTCTATCTCCAAATTCTATTATTTGCCACTGTACTGAAATGGCGCAAAATTTATACCAGAATGACAAGACAATGGCATTATTGATGACTCTATTTCCTTCCCAAATACCAGAAAATCATCACATCTTAAAAAGAGGAGAAATGTGTGTATATCTGAATAGTAAAGATGTAGTAGTAGAGAGAATAATACAGGGTTTACAGGTAGCAGTGGCAGCGATTTTAAAAATATGAATTAGACACAGAATGCCAGATTCTGAAAAGTCTAAATTGCTCAATTGTAAGAGAGGGCTACTGCCAGTGCCAAAATATCAAGTAGAGTGAAGACCTCTGTCCAAGGATATTTCAAAACCTATTACAGTCAATTTAGACTCTACTGATAAAAGAAACTTCCAATTGTGCCTCATCTCCATAGCAATCTCGCTTGAGTGAGTTCAGGGAATGAAGCTCATAGAACCATCTCATTCACTTTGAGTCAGATTTGGGAAATGCACAGCATTGCTC